ATGTCGGCTAAGTTGATGCACAAAATAGCATATAAATACACCACAACTCATACCATCATTTTGAACAGTGTGACTTGGAAATGAAACACACCAACTATCACTAATGTTTAAAATACTATTTATGACTTTTTGCCACAGCTGAATTAATGAAGATACTGAATTTTGAACCGAGTTAAAACCAAGCGGATCATAAAATTGAAACATTTTATCTTTAATTCTTGCTACCAGTAAAACCCAATGATTATTTTTTACAAGAACTGGAATAAAAAAGAAATCAACAGAAGCTAAATCCTCTTTTTGCCATACAGTTTGATCTTTACTACCTGATTGAAAGAAAGGTGTATGATAACACTTGGCTGCTACTGAAGAAGAACCACAAAGACTAATAAAAAGGAAAGCATCAATAACATTGTCACTGAGCCAACCAGGCTGAAAATTTAAAGATGCAGATTTTAATGTTTGAATTTCCTCACATGGAATGTATGGATCCAGAGATTTTACATCCAAAAATGTTAGCGGTGTTTCTCTCCAACATATAAAATGCATTTCGAAATATCCTCATCAATAAGCTTGGGAGTAAAAGTACTTTTATTAATTGTGCACGCTAAATTAATGCCTAATAAATCTTCTTTAACGGTTTTTTTTATTCTGAATATTCAGGTATAAGTTGAAATTTTACGCTTTGCACTTTTTGAAGCAGTTGTACGAAACAAAGTCTGACGGGCTAATTTTAAATTTGAGGGAACACTGACAAATGGCATTTTGTCAGGAAATTCTTTCAGATAGTTTGACTCTATTACACCTTTACAATTAGAAACAATTTCTTTCAAATTTTTTGTTATAGTAGGCAACAATATTTTTTTTAACTGTTGGATTAGGCAGCATAACCTGTAATTCAGATATTAAAGTCTTACAATTATCAATTTTATGTTCTAAGTTACATGCTACTGCATTCGAAATAACAGACTTTGTACCTGTTTGTATGGCTGATGAACAGCTTTCGCTTTTATAAGTATCTGTTACGAAGAAGGATGGATCTCTTTGTCTGACTGAATGTACTTTATGAATGTGTTTACATAATGGACTGAAATCTGGACAATTACAATTATATAAATGACTACACAAATTAAGGCAAGATAAGCTAATACATTTAGAGTAACAGTGATCAGTTTGAGGACATAACTCATATAAGCATTTAACTGTATACTGAATATTAGAAGTCTGTGATTTTACAATCCACAACAAAAAACCAGCCCCTGTTACATCACTATCTAAAATTTTTATTCCCGAATCATGTCGCTTATTATATGTTGGTGGACAAGTACTCTGCTTGTAATTAGTTTTAATTTTATAGCTGTGAGCCATGTATGTATCCTCTTCAATTTTTAAAAGTACTTCAATTAATTTATCTAAACGCCTGTTAAATTTTCGTCTAAAATATGTAGTTTTTAATTTATTATGAAACGATTCACAATACATATTGGTATCTGTGAACGCATGAGGGAAGTTTCTATGGGCCATTGACCAAAGAATAGCACGGCTATAGTAATGTTCTTCAAAATATTGTATAAAAGATGGTGCAATAGTTCGAAACTTCTGAAGGAAATTATCCATCATCACTATGAATCGAGCAGAATTGGTTTCTTCAAGTAATACTACCATATTAAAATAGATTTCATCTTTAAGTTTTTGATTAGAAACCATTCGGCACAAATTACGTTGCCAAGCACGATGCACATGCCATTTACATAACAAATGTGTAATACCAGGACCAAATACTTTATCAAATGCAGGATGGGTAGTCTTATCATCATCTGTCATAAGACAATTGACATAAAGTTCCAGGTATTACACATTTGATACTAAGGAATAAATTATACATTGTATCCTGGTCTAACTGATTTGTAATGAAATGCGCTACAGGATAACCACTACCAAACTCATCAGGAACGATTAAATTTAATAAATAAAAATCATATTGATTTGTTTTGTGAGTAGAATCAATACATAAAATCCTGGAGCAACCTTTAATCATCATATCTTTCTGCTGTTTAGTCTGCAATCCTAATGCAAAAGACTCATTTGTAGAAGAAAGTTCATCAAGCCCTTTTGGACCGTACAATGTTGGCTTTCCTTGTGGTTTATAAATAAGTACTGGATCATATGATTCTTGCCTGAGTTTTTCAACTATTGTGGCAACTGAAAGTGAATCATCACCAGGAAAGGAACATACTAACCGCTTTTTGTAAGTGTTTATCACTCTTCGTGTTACAAATACATCTTTATCATATATGCCCTCCCTATTATCCCGCAGTCCACTTCCATCTCTGATAAATTCTTGAATTTGATCCGTGGATACACCTAACTGTGCATAAGCTTTAATTTTGTTACGGAAACTCTGACTAAGTTGGTGGAACCTGCTATTTTCAAAAGACAATTCATGATTATGATTCGAATAAAATATGGCTGTGACAAGGTGCGATTCTTCACAAACTAAAATTTTTGACGGACACTTAAAGTTGGAAGGTAAAGTATCTTTTAGATTTTTTCTACTGGAAACAGGAACTTTCTTTTTATGCATTACATTAAATTGACAACAGTAATAATGAAAAGTTTTATCATTCCTACATCTACTTCCAGCAGACTTTTTATAAGAACTGAATGTCTGCTTACTATGCGATTCTAACCAGAATTGAAATTCTCCTATTGATGAAAATGTAAGTTCTTGCATAGCCATCTCATAATCATGATATTCAGCCAAATGTTTATTACATTCATTAACAGAACAAAATGTTTCCTTACAATCATGAATAACACATGGCTTAGAATTATTAGATGTAGGATTTTTAATACTACAGATCTTTTTATGATGAAAAAGGTTACTGCGGCTTTTACAATCTCTCTCACACCGGTCATAAATATATGCCTTTGGAATACATTCAGCTGATGGTGCTTTGCAACATTTTTTTATGATTGGAAAATGATTGTCTAGTGGAGTACGACTTCATGCAAACTTCACACACTCTGGGATATTTCATTTCTACAATACCTTTACAGTTACGTTTATGATTCGATAAGGACTGTTTAGAAGAAAAAGGTTTCTTACATTTAGGGCAAATCTTAGATTTTCCATTAGAAGCACAATTTTCTTTATCATAATTACTCACGAGTTCAATTTTATTGTTATTTTCAGATTTATTTGGACTCTTAGCACCCCCAAACTTAAAGTTTGAACATTCATTATCATCTTCAAAAAGTGAAATCGATGAAATGGTTGAAAAACAGCCGAGAGATCGAAGATCAACAACTGTAAGATCTGATGAGATGAAAGAAGCCGAGTCTGAAACAGGAGAACTAGAATAGGTGAGAACCTGAAAAGCAGAAGATTCAGAATTGAGCACAGAAGCAACAGAAAACTGAGGAACAGATGCAATGGCATCAACATTATTTGGACCAATGTTAACAGCACTTTCAAGAAATGGAAAATCTGATAAAGCAGATGAAATGGAATTAATTGCAAGCTCAGAAGCAACTGTAACAGGATACAAAGAACCAGAAAGCTGAGAAACAGATACACTTGGATCAGCAGAAAAATGAGAAACAGATGGAGTACTGGAATTCTGAGAAACTGGTGCAGTGATGTCAAGAATACTCGAAACAGTGTCGGCTATAGGCTCAAGAACTGGAAAATCCGATAACAAGAAACCACTGGGATGATTATCCAAAGACGTGTTGGTAGAACCATATTTTAAAACATCTGAATAAAGAGGTTTAGAAAGAACATCAGGAGAATCCAACAATACTGAAATACTGGGATGGTTATCCAAATCAGTCAAAACACCTGGTAATGCTAAAGCATTAGGGCGACTATCCAATGTAGTACAGACATGCGAAAGTTTCAAAACACTTGAATAAAGTGGTTTCGAAGGAACACTTGAAGGAGCACACAAAACTGAAACACTAGAATCTGATAAGCCTAAAGTATCAGGATGACTATCCAAAGTGCTGCAAACAGAAGAAACCCGTTTCAAAACACTTGAATAAAGAGGTTTAGAGTGAGTACTTGAAGTATCTGAAATGACAGAAGCACGAGGATAATTATCCAAAATCGTGATAGGTACAGAAGGATGTTTTCCTGAAACAGTGGATAAAGCTGGAAACTCAATAGCAGATACAGAGGAAAAAGATGTAGCACTTACCTTTGGAAGGGATTTCACACTCAAAACGCTCTTTATGTCCTTCACAAAAATTCTCCCAAGCTGTGCATTACCCTTACGGTTCAGATGCAATCCGTCTCTTGACAGACAAGTACTCCAATAGTACTCACCAGATCTGCAAAAAAAGAAAAAGCTTCTCGGCCTTTGAATGCTTCGAAAAGATTAGTGTTTATCCGAGCTAATTTTCTGTTCAGCTTCTTTAAACTGTACGGGTTGAAACCATTCTCGAATAAATTTCGTTCACGCGGGAGGACACCTGAAAAGAGAATGATCTTCGGGTTTAAACGCTCAATAACCTTATACAGACAATCATATTTATGATGAATATCATCCAAAGTGTCACAAGAGTTATTGGTACCAACGTGAACCAAAACTAACTCAAATTGATTGTCTATCAAGGTTATCTTGCGTGTCAACCTTTCAATCGTAGCACCCGGAAAACAATGAAAATGAACTTCATAATCCAGTAAATTCAGCAATAAATATTCTTTTAAATATTTTTATCATCGAATCTCCGATTATAAGTATTTTCATTTTTCCTGTTTGCTTAGACAAAGACATAATAAAAATAATACAAATAACAAAATCAAATTAAGAATTAGCACGTGCAGAAAAAACACTCACCGACGAAAATGGCGGAATACGATTTCTATTTTTACTAGATTTACGTATTTGGCGCCAGGTCCAGTTTGGCGTGAAAAAGATAACCCTCCAACCAATCACAGCAAAGTACATTTTTCCGTAAACATTTGGCGTTTGGCTGTACATAATTGTTCAAACTCCGTTTGTCTGTCTGTCCACAAAAGGAGCTCTGAGAATAGCAACGCAGTGAAATGTGTGTTGTTTACTGTCACGTTGTTTCTTGTTATTGAGTGTAATATTTTGTCTTGTCAGTTTGTTTTCTGAAGGTCATGATGTACTCTGACTTATATTAGGTATTCATCTAATTAAGTCTGCACTTTAGTTCTTATCTTTTAATAATTCTATTGAAAACCCAAACGAGTTAAAACGGAGAATTTTTTTAATAACGTTAACGCGCGGGAATTAATGCAAATCATAAATATATCTTGTTTCAATGTAAAGATTTCATATGTTTTAATCATGTTCAGAAGGAGGAAAATAGCTTTGTAAAAACGGCCATTCTTTCTGAGTAATCAAGAACTACAATTTGAAAAATACATGCTTTCCATAAACATTTGTTTTATTTATTTTTTATACAATTTTAAATAACTCAACTGCATTGAAAAGGGGTTGTTGAACTATAGACATTTGATTTAAAATGTTTTCATGGCGTAATTTAAGAATGATTATTTATATAAAGCATAACAAAGGGTTTGCCAACGTACAAGACGCACCCTCTTTTTTTATACACATATTTGAACGATAAAACTTTATTACTGAATTTACAGTATTTTAAGCACAAAGTAATATGTTCTGCAAATACCTAATTTATCTGGGAAAGAACATCTTTCAATCTTCGTCAAAACCCAGACACTCATCTCCAGAGCTAAGTGAAACCTCCTCTAAGCATCTGAGTCCTCATACAACAAATTGTCCTCTGTACCATCCAGAGCGTTACTAATGCCACACTTCTTAAATGATTTAACCATTTTCTTTGTTTTCACAGCATCCCATGAAGCTTTGACCCATTCACAAACATGCAAAATGCTAACTCCGGATAAATTGAGTTATTGATATATAAGACACTCCCCATGTTTTCAGACTAATTTTCAAAGAAAAAAAGTGTGTCTTATACGCCATTAAATATTCTATATCTCGGTTTTATCTGTTTAAATTTTCAGTACCTTTTTAAAAAATAAATTTCATTTAAGTAAATGTATTAAATTTCAATGTATTAAAATTCATATGTATTAAAAAGCTAATTGTTTATGCGTATCTTAATTTACAAATTAATAAGGTGCAATAAATTAAGATTCACTTATTGTAAGATCTAATTTGCTATAGTATTGCAACAGCGATATATGCATTTCTAATTTTGATAATCTTAATTTTCCGAAAGTTCTTATAATTTTCATTATTTAACAATCTTATCCTGGAAACTGTGTCATAACTATATCCCTTAAAGTTACTTTGTTTTTACTTTATTATTGTACTGTGGCGTAATTTGTTTAACTGTACCAATGAAGCAATTTTTCCTCCTCAGAATCATAATATTACGTTAATTAATAAAAGCAATAAGTTTCTCTTTTAAACTTTGATTTTTAAAATTTATATTCTGTATTGGATTAAGAATAGTGAAAGAAAACCACTTTGACAGGAGATGTAAATTAAATGCAAATATATGAAAGATCAGCTGAATTAAATCTTATCAAATTAGACTTTAAAAAAAATTATCCTGTTTCAGAAGACTTTTTTCTTTTCCTTTTCGTTTTTATGTATACATTAGTGTATTTGGTATACTGTACAAATTTTCTGTCTTCATAAAATTTCATATTTTATTTCATATATGTAATTTTGTGCAATTCTTAATCCTAAATGACACTGAAATATATTTTTGAAAATTATTTTAAAATGAAAGTGACATATGTATCCAGATATTGCTATTAAAATGTAAAAACTGGACCTTGCATCTGTTTGAATGTAATTCATAGATGAAAGCAATAAGAATAGCTATCTATACTGGATGGTTTATTTAGTTTATTACTTAATTATTTTATTAATGATGAATTGTTTAACTTTATTATTTAGTTTATAAAATTTGTTTTTAGTTCAAAGGGGCTTTGTCCGTGAAGGACTCTTTTCTTTTTGAGATTTTGCATTGAATCACTCTGAATGTCTGTTTCACTTTTCAAACTGTTGCCACCAAATATTATCACCCTGTATTATATTTAAAGTAATCAAATAATGAAGAATCTGCATAAATGTATGTGTGTTTCTCGCATTGTGATAAAACAATGGCAGCCCAAATTTGAAATCTGGAATTTGTTTTATTATCGATTTCATATTTTATAAAATTTTAACAAATTTTTTAATAACAAACTCAAGGATTTCAAGGCCAATTTCAAAGTGAGCAACCGACAATGTTGTACAGAAAAAACATTTTTATCTTTAGCGCGTGAGACTGTGTATTGGAAATGCTAAAGATATGCTCACTTTAAAATTATTTTACAATATTGCTGTTGACCTGAATTTTATGGTTTAAGTGTGAAGAACATGATATTTAATAAATAAAGGAAACACACCAAATGTTAAAAAAAAAATGTCCTTTGGACGTAATTTAAAATCTGAAACTTTTCAGATTTTCTTTTTTTAGTTAGTTATAAAATTATTTTAGTCATCAGCATTGTCTCTTCAGAGTCTGTCTGGAGGGGAGCCTCTCCCTCCAATCTATTCGCGGGGACTTTGCATGTTGCCATCATCCATCGCCGAGCCTTGACGGGGGGAGGGGGGCAATGCCCCTCCAGACAGCCCTTAATATCTACATGCAACATCCCCGCAACCAAGGTCACAGACAAGACAGTATCAGTACGATTCCTACCGAGCCTGAACCTGCCACCTGCCTAAGGTTCTAATTTATGTGAAGACTGATTATATAACCAAGGAACCGAAGCTGTCTAGACGCAAGTCCAGCCAGTGATCTGGAGGAACCCCGGGTCCCTTCCCAAAAATGGTTGGTTCCGAAAATTACCATCAGTCGATCTCAAGGGATGGGTTGTCCAGCATCGTTAGCCTATGCCAGCCGAAGTGAAGCCTAAGCCGACATAGTTTCCGGTGGGCGCAATGAGGAGGCTTATGCTGAACTGAGGGAGATGAGAGCAAGTCTCCATTTCCTTAACTCCTGCCCTTCAGACGAACACCGGGTCTCCTACCGCAAGCGGTCTGTTCCAGATATTCATCCTCAGGGTCAGGTGCCGGTGTCCGCTCTTAAGATCAAACACCAGGTCTCCTCCCACAAGCGGTCGCTTCTGGATGTTTGTCCTCGGGTATGACCGCCACCCACCAATTTCAGCATTGCCCCTGTTTGCTCAGAGTCTATTTTGTGCGAGAGACCATCAAAGCATATCTGTGATACTTCTCAGTTTTTTAAGATAAATTGTAATTATAGCCAAAATACACCAGAACTCTAAATAAGAGGGGCTGTGGAACTCCTTTTATGAAACAACCACAATTTCAACAGAAAATTCTTTTCAGCTCATAAAGCTTCATTTCAGATTTATTTAAAGATTTCATAAAACTTTATTAATAAATCAATCTTGAAAACTGGTTGTAACTTTTGAATGCATGGCTGTCTTTGTTTCGTTTTAGAATCTTCTCTCTTTGTTTTCATGTAGACAGATTTTCATTAGAAATTTCCTTCCACACTCTTATACTATTTTTAGCATTCTCTGTAATCATATTAATGATGCTTTAACCATTTTACTTTTTTCATTGATGTGCTGCAGAAACAAAAAGAAATCCGAAAAAGGTTGAGATTTTAATTACTTTAAAGGGCTGTTTTATGTAATGAAGTTTAATATGGTTTATTTGTCAATAGAGATAGCCTCAGATGGAATAGCAAAACATAATTATAGGATACTAAGTGAATTTCCATGTAGATGTACTTAGGAGAGTTGTATATCTTACATATATTTAAAAAAAGATAATTCTTTAAGAAAATTTAATGTTGTTAGCTAGATATATCATGAATTAAATGCATTTTTACTTAACTCAATGTGATTAAAAATTTTTAAAAAATAATATTTTTAAAACTTCATTTATTACTTTTAAATAGTTTAGTTTGTTGATTAATAACAGACAGATTAAATGTGAAAGAATAGTAGCTCATGTTTTTCTGAATGGCAGCTGACTTAAAATTCAAATAATGCATTAAAATGAAACAACGCAAAATTGTGTATCGAGATTAATAGCACTTTTGGGCCAAAAACCTTGTATCTATCATTGCTTGAAACAGTAAGTTACAATTTGTATAATTTTTATTCAGAGCTTAAAAGTTTAGCCAGAACCTGATGCCTCTGTTTTTTAGTTCCCGAGTAAAATTATAATTCCAGCTCAAAGAAGTTAGAATTTGAACCTCCTTGTTCCAGCTGGAGACTCAAATAAAACAGCATCTGGTTTTCTGTTTTATAACTTAACTGTTTGTTATTTATTGAACTTAATTTATTAAATTTTTTATTTTTGTACATTTTTATTGAATTTTAATTACAATCATTTTATTATTAATTATAATTATTTAATCATTAGTTATTAATTTATTTCTTATTTATCTATCCTGATGATTTCCATTCCACCTTTTTAAATTTAGAAATTATACTCTGGTATTGATTATTAATGGGTGATATATTGCTTTTACAGTAGACAGTATGGGTTTTTGTATACCATTACAGTCTTTTTCTCCTCTTATTCAGTATATTTAAGATATTATTAACAAATTTTTAATATATTTTGAAATACATACTACATCATTATTTATCAAATCTCTTTCATAGTTTTCTGAAGAGAGGACTAAGAAAGTTTTAGTTTTTTTAATTTTCACTTATAAAAGATGCTATAATGTCGAAGGAAATTAAAAGATTCAGTAATCAGCTTAAATTAAATTCTATTTGGAAGGGGGGAAATAAGTATTTTCTGTTATTGTATATGTATGTCTGAAGGATAGTAGATCCTTTTTCAGCAGATTTTATGGAAATTGAACTAATTTGTCAAGAAATAATAGGCTTAAATATGATGACCGACAATATAATTTTGAAGAAGGTGAATTTAAAAAATGAGGAAAAGCAAAAAAAAAAAAAAAAAAAATGTACATGTTATACCAAAATATATGGAGAATGAAATTAAATTTATTCACACCATTCTTTATGTCTTGTCTTGCTGATTCCAGATCCAGAGCTGGTAATCATAGAGTACAAAGTCTTTAATCCGGACTTGTCGGGACTTCGGCAATTCCGAATTAGGGTTTTTTCCAGATTATAGATCATCAATTTAAATCTGGTAAGATGGCATGCAGAAATAAAAAATATGAAACTGTAATTTATGAAATAAAGAGCAATTATGATCTAAAGGTATCAAAATTTACAAAAAAAAGCTTACTATTTATTGTTTACTTTATTAAACATTTCATTCAATGTAAGTTGTTTAAGTTGCTTCGTTTTATGTGCTAATACCTTCTCTTTAATTCTATAAACAGACATAATTTCTTGTTCAGTTACAAAGTTCTACTGTTCAAGTCCTGTAATTGCTGTGCCGAGAATACCGACTAACTTGTCAATCGAAATTTTTTCATTTTCAGTAACCTATCTGTCACTTTCCTCACTATCAGAAACAGTATTTTCTGGATCTAGGACCATATTACAGATTTCGCCGTAGGTTAATTGATTGATGATTGGGGCATTGTCGTTGCAATAAAAAACTTCTGTTATAAAATCTTCATTTATTATCGCTTCTCCACATTTCTTTGCAAAATCCAGTAACTGGAAAATTTCACCTTTAGTTTGCAATATCCGAAAAACCTTCAAATTTTATGGCTATCATCTTCATCGTGCTCGCCATGAAATATGGTAGCTGGCCATAAATTATGCCAAGCACTTTTTAATGTATCTGGAGACACATCCTCCAATGCGCATTGCACACACGCGTAAAGCATACAAAAAAAAAAAAAAAAAAAAAAAAAAAAAAAAAGAGTTTTCACAAACCTCTCTGTCACTTTCTTCATGCCTTTATCCAATTTTTGCAGCAATTCCACTTTTTGTTTGATGGACATCGAAAAATGCTTTTCGCTTTGTTGATCCTTTGGCAGCTCCACAATCTGAAACTCTTTTTTTGTCATAATCGAAATTTCTAGCTTACTTTTTATAAAATTACTCTAACAGTCTGCAAAAAATAATAAGCTGGATCCAATTAGAAGATTAAGGAACAACACAATGTGCAACATTAACTGAAATAGATAATTAGATAATTTTAGCCTAGCTTATACTGTCCGTGATACATTAAACGCACATGCATAAACATATTATGTGCATGCGTAAACGCTATGCATGCGCAGAAAGTTTGTAGCTTTGAGGTTCAGATTAAAGACTTTGTACTGTATAATCATCTAACAAAGAAAGTGTGATTATCATTTCTATATGTTCATTATAAAATCAAACCAGATATTAGATATTTATCTTTGTAACATTACCTTCAAATATCTCATTATATTTTTAATGAAGATAATTTGGTACTTTCTGATTATCGTCATCCTCATCAAAAAGTTGTGGAAACATATTCGTGAGGCATTAGGTGAAGGGAAGTGTTTGTACCAGTGTTTCTTGCTGTTTCAATTTATGACCAATTCCTTACGTATGGAATTCTTAGTATGCTGCCATTTGGAAAATGGCTGTATCCTTTCGTGTATTAGCTTGGCATAAAACTAGTCGCGAGTCTGTGAATGTTTTCCAAAATGTCAGCATCAAGTGCACTACTTTTTTGGGGGGTATAGATAATTAGAAAGTACTAATAACTTTATTTTTTTCAAATTTAATTTTTCTTTGATTTAACTAGCTTCTACTACACTGCATTGTTAGATATGCAAAATCTCATTAAACTTCAATTTAAGAATTGAAATAATGATAATAAGATAGGCTGAGTAATCGGGGCACACTGGTTAGGAAGAAAATTTTAACTATCAACAAAGATACAAGAGTGAGTGATAAGTATTCAAAGATTGAGGAACCATGTAATAGCTTATATGAATAATTTAAAAATTTAATGTAATAACCTCTAGATATTTTAAAAGGAACCATGTAACAGCCTTTAGGAATATTTTAAAAATTAATTTTACATGGATAAGTTTTTATTTTTTATGCTAATTTGCATCATTTCTTTTTATGTGTAATATTGATATATTTTTGTAATATTTTAAAATATATGATGTATAGTTTGAATTTAATTGTTCGTAAATGATCATTTTTGAATTTCCTTTTTATTTGCCCTGTGCAGAATACCAGTTAGCAGAGGCTTTCTGCTAGTCCAAAACTGAAGATGTGGGTTCAACTCTCGTACAAAGCCTTGTTATGTGGTCTTATCCTATTTCTTTATAGATGTGTAATATAATTTGTCTCAGTGATGGTATTTGGGCATTGCTGTTTGTGATGAGATAATAAAGCAATTGATGGGGTCAACCATTCCCAACAAAAGCATTAAATTGAAAGTGTCCTACCATTTGAGGGATTTTTTTTTTTTTTTTTTTTTTTTTTTTTTTTTATGTTGAACTTAATTTCATTATCTATTTAATATATGAATAACAGTTTTTAGTGACTTTTAACATATATTTAAATGCAAATAGTTTTCCCATAATATTGTTATTTATAGTAATATTTATTTTGATTTAGGTGGTGAATAACTTATGATAAAAAAGGAGATTAATGGATGATAAAAAATGCTGCTCATTATGCGGAAAAGAATTTACTTTCATGCAAAATCTGAGGAGGCATATGCATAAATTACATAATGTTGTCCAAAAAAATAATTCTGGAAAGCTGCATTGCCCAAAATGTGATATTGTCGTTCCTACCCATAAACATCTGCGGGAACACTTGGCAGGAGTGCATATAATTGAAATCGAAAAGGAAGAAAAATTCTTTGAAAGTGTGGAAGGTAAATACTATTTACATTAAATAGCTAATGTATCATTAATTTTTCTACATCCATAGAGATATTTAAATATGTCGTACTTTATGGTTAACGGAGCACTCTTTCTTCCAGAAGCTTAACTTGAAATGGTAATGGCAACCACAATAATACATACAGCTTTGTTAAAAGTATAAATATTTAATTAAATCCAAAAATTTACAAATAAAAAATGAGTGGATTGTACCACATTAATTTCAGATTTGATAAGAGGTATGAAGTTGCCAGTTTCATTTTTAACATTGCTAAAAAAACTTGCATTATTTCATGCAGTCCATGCCATATGAATTCATACAATTGAAATCTAATTTGTGGTGGCCACTGCTGCACTAATGTTTGTTTATCTTTCCATTTTGCTTTGTGAATTCATGTAATCCATATTGATTCTTTCCTGTAATAAAAAAAAAAAAAAAAAAGTAATCGAAAATCTCAGAGTGAAAACCTATCAGACTAATGTTCATTCTTCCCTCTTATTTGCAAAGATGTCATTGTAAATAAGTCTTAGGCCTTATAGAAATAGAAATAGAAATGGGTTTTCTCCCTCATCTGATGCATTCCCGGCTGTCACCTTGATCATATCCGGAGGAGTAGGGACGACTTGCAGAAATTTAACAGTGGTTGTCTATTGCAGCATGTATGATTGTCAAGAAAAAGCTAGTTGTAGCGCCTCATTTCTCAAATTAGAATTTCTCCATATTTTTATTTTTGAAACTGAGATTGATTTTAAAAAATTTAAAACCATGAATGAAAAGTTAATTTAGTTTTCATCTTTGCTCATTAGGGGCTTGGAAAAAAAGACAAAATGAGCAAGAGACGATGCCAGATTTCATGAAGACTTATAGAACTGTATAAAAAGTTTAAGCTATTTGCTACATGCAAAATGGAAGCCATATTTAATTAACCTTTCATGACACTAAGGCAACATCCTGTGAACATCCTCTATGTTAGGCGGGAGGGCTGGTCACTGTCCAGAGAGAAAGGAAAGAGAGAGAGATACTACTCTGATTTACCTGATCCGAAATCAGATAGCAACTTAAAGACACAAATTGTCGCCAGATCAGGAAGACATGTGTACTTTCCTAAGAAACTTGCTTCTTACATTACAATTTTAAAAAAATGTTTGAAATTTAATTTTTTCACATGTTTATATATATTTTACTTTTTATATGTGTGCATTATTACCTGTTCATAAAGTTGAATCACATTTTGATTTTTCTAATTTTATATCCTATTTTTGTGTTTAAAAAAGTACTCAACAATACGGATCCCCTTAAATCTTCATCCGATGTCGTTCCTTTGAATTGCCATCAAATGGAACTTGGGGGGGGGGGGATCTGGTGGTGATAAGGAGCATGCCTTGCACCCCTGAGTGTGTGCTAAAAAAATACGGCAACCTGAAGTAGAAGTGCACAGAGAAAGGAAAGAGAGACCTGCTGTTCGAGGAGGAAAAACACGTATATTCAAAGTCTAAAAGTAAAGATTGATTTTGCTGTGTAATATGTCTTCTGAAAGTTCTGGATTTTAATACAGTGACAGCATTTAATGTAATATACACAAGAACTCCTTGGGACCCACAACAATTACTACAAAAGTGACTTCGGGACTTCGTTAAATCAGGCCATGCAAATAGCTCACAGGTACTTTCGCTTTTGACAAATCGCCATCTCATGAACCCCAAACCAGAACTTAAGGATTAAATTGATTTTTATCCTCCGGATAGATGGTTAGTTATTATAGTTCATTTTACTATTTTGTTTTCTACTTATTATTGGTATTTTGTTTTCTGTAATAGAATTTTTACTTTTTTTTAAACTTTTTTTTTGGTTTAAACCTTGCACAATGAATGTCTGAGGTATATGCTGCCCAAATTCCGGTTTATAACCAATCAGACCCAGCTTTATGGTTTATTATGTGTGAAAGTACGTTTGCTCTTGCCATCCCCCCCAAACCTATCACAGAATCAGTTAATATAATTATACAGTTTTCATCTTCCTCCAGATATTGCATCATTAGTTTAGGATTTATTTATGAAACCAGACCCAACCAATCCTTATATAAAGCTTAAAACTGAGTTAATAAACCGATCAGGAGAATTATCTCAGCAAGAAATTCATCAGTTATAATCTGAAGAGGAATTAGGCTCTCGTAAACCTTCGTATTTGCTTAGGAATAAGAAATGACGAGCAGAAACCTTAAATGTTCCCGATAATTTAATGTTAGAATTATTCCTTCAGCGTTTGCCTTCGGTAATCTATTTTGGCAGCTGTTTCCTATTTAACTTTAGACAAAGCTGCAGAAATTGCCGACATAATCTTAGAAGTAAATCCAACCCCAGGGACATCTGCAGTTTCTCATACAGTCTATCAATCTATTGAGGATAAATTGTTTAAAGAAATAGAAAAATTAAAGAGACATATTGATCATATTTTCCTTTCTCGGGGTCGCTTGCCAAATTGCAGAAATCGCAATAAAGAAAGGAGCAGTTCTCAAAGGAGAGATTATTTTGTTTGCTGGTATCATAGACGTTTTAGAAAACAATATGGAGAAGACAAGTGTATCAAACCTTCTTCATGGAAGAGAAACGAAACCAGCAAAGAACAGGGGCAACTTATTCTTTGCCTCAAATTTCACGTCGCCTGTTCATTCATGACCAGAGAACAAACGTTTTATTCTTGGTGATTACTGGCTCTGACGTGTCCTTATTTCCGGAAAACAATTCACAAAAACGAAATTCTCCTCAACAAATAGTTCTCACTGCTAATTCTTCAACTGTCCATGTTTATGGTCAAAAAACACTTTCTTTGGATTTCAGATTAAGAGGACAGTTTACTTGGACTTTTTTTATAGCAAATGTTAGTACACCCATTCTTAGAGCAGATTTCCTCCATTTCTTTGAATTGGTGCCGGATCTTAGAAACAAATCTCTCAAAGATTTAAAAACAAAGTTTCAGACTGTAGGCTGCGTGAAAAATGCAGCTGTCTTCAGTAATACATTTTATCACAAAATTTTAAAAGAATTTCCTTTCATTACTAAATTACCAGATCTTAACCAACCTATTAAACACAACACTGTTCATCATATCATAACTAAAGGTCCACCTGTGGTTACAAAACCTCGTTGATTAGTCCCAGATCGCTTAAAAATAGCAAAGCAAGAATTTCAAACTATGATGCAATTAGGGCATTTAAGAACACCGAGAAGCAATTATGCATCCCCACTTCACATGGTTCCAAAAAAAAAAAGGGGAACTTTAGAATGGAGACCTGTAGGAAATGATCGTACATTGAATGCACAACTAATAAAAGATAAGTACCCTATTCCATGCTTAGGTGATTTTACTGCCTCATTGCAATGTACTAAAATTTTTAGTCATATTGACTTAATCAAGGCATATCATCAGATACCAATCAACCCCGCTGACATTCACAAAACTGCCATATGTACACCATTTGGTTTATTCGAAAGTACCTCTATGCAATTTGACTTATCTAACGCATCCATGACTTTTCAGCGTTTTATAAACAAAGTCACGCGAGGTTTAGAAGGTGTTTATGCTTTCGTCGATGATTGCTCATAGCCTCTAAAGATTCTGAGGAACGCTGCAGGCATTTGAAAGCATTATTTTGAAAACTTTAGGAATATGGACTTTGTATAAATGTTCCAAAATGCACTTTTGGTCAAACATCAATTGATTTCTTAGATTTTCACCCGTGAAAACGGAATTGAACCTCTTCTTGATAAAGTCAAATATATTTTAGATTTCCCTTGACATACCACCCTCACTCAGCTTCACTGATTTTTAGGCATGCTTAACTTTTACAGATGTTTCACAACTAAAGCAGTACACATTCTTTCTCCTGTAATAAAACTGTTAGAAGGGCATATCAATAAAAAAAAATCTCATTCTCATGTTAAGGATTCATCCTTACCATTAAATTGGAACAAAAATGCTCAACAAGCTTTTATTGCTGCCAAAAATGCCATTGTTCATGCTACCCTTTTGAGACACCTTATTCCTGGAGGCCAGTTAAGCATCTGAGTAGATGCTTCAGACGTCAGAATAGGTGACACTCTTATGCAGTTGTCTCAACAAACATGGGAACCTGTAGCATTTTTCTCTATGAAACTCAGCAAAAGTCAACAGAAATGGTCTGTGTATGATAGGGAATTATTTTCAATTTATTCTGCGATTAAGAAATTCCGACGCATGTTAGAGGGCAGAAATTTTCAAATTTATACGGATCAGAAACCGTTAATATATACTTTTAAGCAGAATCCTCACAAATGTTCACCTCGGTAATTACGCCATTTAGATTTCGTTTCTCAGTATTCTGCTGATATTAGGCATGTGCAAGGTTCTAAAAACATTGTTGCTGATGCGCTTTCGAGAATCGAAATTGATTGTATAACAAAATCTCCATTTTTAGATTTAAAAAATTTTTTCATAGAACAACAGCCTGATCTGGAGGTACAAAAACCTTCTCAAAAGCATCATCTTTGAAGCTGGAATTCAAGCCCTGCCAGTACTCCGATCGTAACATTCTTTATGACATATCTACTTATGTTCCTCGTCCATTTGTGCCAAACTCCTTTTGCATACTCATCTTTAATCATCTGCATAATCTATCATATCTAGAAATTGCAGCTACTATGAAACTCATCTGTTCTCATTATGTATGGCCCTATATGAATCCTCATATAATAAATTGGGTGAAATCCTGTGATTCTTGCCAGCGATCGATAATAACCAGACACACTTAAACCACCATTGGGTACATTCTCTCTTCCTGATGCATGTTTTTCACAAATGCATATGGATATTGTTGGCCCGTTACCGCCATCAGAAGGCAATATATATCTTTTGACTTAAATAGATAGATTTTCCAGATGACCTGAAGCCATACCTATCCCCAATATGAAAACGGAAACTAGTTGCAGAACTATTTTCTACTCCTGGATATCTTGTTTTGGCTGCTCATCGGTTATAACAACTGACCATGGTTCTCAGATGAGATCCACAATGTTTGCTGAGTTTACTCGCATTTTGGGAACAAACAGAAAATCAATGACAGCCCATCATCCAATGTCAAATGACATTGGTGAGCAATTTCACCGGCACCTAAAATTGTCTCTCGAGGCTCAAGAGAACAATAACTGGACAGAAACACTTCTAGTTGTTTTGCTTGGCATCCGGATGGCAATTAAGGAAGGATATACCAACATCTTGTGCAGAACTTATGTGTGGCACAACACTCGGGCTGCCTAAAACATTGATAACATCATCTACGATATCTTCATGCAACACTCGATTCATCACCAATCTTTGACATAGAATGCAGCAATTAAACCCTATAGTGGCATCTGCACATTAAGATAGGTATTTTGTAAGTCTGCACCTAAAATCGTGCACACATGTATACTTACGTATTAATCGAGTCCTGCCATTGTGCCAGCCGTATTCAGGTCCGCACAAAGTCATCAAGAGAACTAACAAAACTGTCACAATTGACATAAACAGTGTTAAATCAATGGTGTCCATAAACCATGTGAAACCGGCCTATTTGTTCTCAGATTGATTTACCTGAGCCGAAATCAGATAGCGACTTGAAGACACAAACTGTCGCCAGATCAGGAAGACGTGCACTTTCCTAAGAAACTTGCTTCTTACATTACAATTTAAAAAAATGTTTGAAATTTAATTTTTTCACATATTTATTAATATTTTACTTTTTATATGTGTGCATTATTAACTGTTCATAATGTTGAATCACATTTTGATTTTTCTAATTTGATATCCTATTTTTGAATAAAAAAAATACTCGACAGCACGAATCCTCTTAAATCTTCATCCGATGTCGTTCCTTTGAACTGCCATCAAAGGAACTGGGGGTAACTCTGTGGGGGTGATAAGTAGCGCGTCTTGTGCTTCCTGAGTGTGTGCCGAAAAAATACGGCAACCTGAGGTAGAAGCGCACAGAGAAAGGAAAGAAAGAGAGAGCTGCTGTTTGAGTAGGAAAAACACCCATATTCAAAGTCTAGAAGTAAAAATTGATTTTTGCTGTGTAATGTGTCTTTTGAAAGTTCTTAATTAATACAGTGAGAACATTTAATGTAATATGTACAACAAGAACTCCTTGGGATCCACAACAAACACTACAGGACCTTATAAGAGGGATTTAAGAACATTCACTTGCTGCACCACAGGGGCCTCAGTCCTGCAATGCAGACTTTTTATATGGGAATTCTCTCTTTAAATCTCCAATGCTGAACCAGGCACTCATCCTCATGTCAGGTCTCAGAGATCACTAATGGGATGCAAACTATAGACTCTGTGCTAACCTGGAGACATGACTAGATGTCATAAAGCTACCTGCCAGTACTACAGGGTCTGGTCATCACCAACATTACTCAGTACATCCAACTAGGCCACTAGTATCTCCGATTCTAGGACTTGACCAATCCCCCTTGGTCCTCCCATGAGTTCTGGAACCACCAAGCTCATGTTTTTATTCCCCGGTACCAAGACAGTCAGGCTATAGATCCTAGCCAGTACAATAAATAACTACCAGGGGGGAAGGCAAAGCAGAAGCAATATGACTGAACTGTTTAAATCTAAAAAAGTTTGTATTTTCAGTCTAAACAGATTTCAGCCATGAAGCAATGTGCAATGACAGTTTTTTTTGTTCAGAAATAGACTAGTATATTTATACTGAAAATAATAAATGCCATTTTTTATTTACAAAATTTTACTTATTTAGTCAGAATATGTTATTTCCTAGTATTGTTCATGTCTATTTATTAGTATGCAACTAATTTTAAAATTATTAGCATAGTTTAACAACCATCACTTATGCAACCTTGGCTGGCATTCTGCCAGTACGCTCATTTACCAAGAGGAGTGTTGACTATAGAACTGTGTGCAGTGGCATAGCTAGGATTCCAGCGTCCAGGGACAGCTGATGAATTTGCACCTCTTTCTGTGTGTTAAGAATGGAAACATTTCATTAAAATATTTCATAGCATCTATTTGGCACCTCCTGGATGCTGCGCCCGGGGACAGATGTCCCCCCTTGCCCTACCCTAGTTACGCCACTGACTATGTTGGTTAAGGATCATATGGAAGTCCTGCATTCTCTGGAAAGATTGAATCCTTTAATAGTGGAAAAAGTATTCCTGTTATCCTGCCGTCATATATCTTTGTGCTTTTTACTTGCATTCACTGAAATAAATGCCAAAATTTTCATTCATTCACTGCTCAGGAATCAAGAAACAATATTTATGTAAATTTTATATGTGTATATATTTTATCAAGATCATTCAAAATGATGGAAGTGTTTTCTTTAGTGGAAATTCTGTTTTATTATAATAGTAATGATTTATTATCATACAATTATATTTTTATTAATTATAATGATAATGGAATAATAATATAAAGATAAATGATTATAACAATTTTAGTATAATTATTACAATTCCTATTACATAATAGAATAATATAATAAGAAGCTGTCTTATTATCCATTGTCTTTCCCCAAAAAAGTATTCATGAGGTGCTGTGTCTCCAAAATATGCAACGCATTTATGTTGCATCCCAGGTCTGTGCACACTTACAGCAGATGAGCACCAGTTTTCATCAAAGGTCACATTTTCACCTTCAGAACTGACTGTCATTAGAGTTTATTTCTGTTGCATTGCTGTAATTGGACTGGGGTTTTTCTGGCTGATGAAAAAGAAAGTGTTGCATTTCTTTAGAAATATTTGCTTTGTCTAAAACAATAGAAAATGCAAAAATCTGCATTCTGTGAAGTTGTACTTATGAACTTTCAAATTTTATGGATGAAAATTTCTGCACCGATGCTGAATTTGTGAAAATCTCCAATTTTGTTTAAGCGAAAGAAAATCATTCTGTACATGGGAAAACAAAAGTATGTGCAATTCTGTGATGTTTTATTAAGCAAAAACTGATTGTTGTGTATATATAGCAACATTGTGCACAGTGCCAAATTGTACATGATGCCAAGTTTCAGCAATTTTTTGTAGTTTTTAAGCTAAAACACGTTACTGTGTACATGGAGAGAAGAGCCAAACAAATAGGTTTAGTGTTTTTATTTTGTATGCTTGTTCCATTTTTAATTTGCTAATTGGTAATGCCAATGTAATTTATGTATTTCTTATTTTTGAAAATGGCATGTTGTCTTTTGCGTCTTAGCTTGGCAAAAAATTAGTTACCAACAGTTAGTGACTTTTGAGGATAGAGATGCAGATAATCAGAAAGTACCTACAATAATTATGATGGTAATTTATTATATTATAACAGCTGATTATTTTGCTTTACCATAAAGTTTGATTGCATATATATATATGTAATTTGAATAATAATACTTATATCAACATTAAATTTCGAGGTCTCTCATATTTTTACTAATAAATAAATAAATGTACAAAATTAAGCACAATGTAATCAAACAGTTAATTACAACTTATGATTCACATAATCTTCATATCAACTGAGTTAAATAAGTAATTTTAGATAAATCTGGGCTTTTTAAATCTTGTGTGAATTAAACAAAGGAAAAAACAACAGAAAAAATCCCTATTGCATATCTATCTGTCCTACATACCACTATCTGTTGAAGGTCAAATTGTATACAGTACAAGGTCTGTAATCCGTACTTGTTGGGAATTCGGCGATTCCGGATTAGGGGTTTTTCCAGATTATAGATCGTTAATTTAAATCTGATAAGATGGCATGCAGAAATTATACAATTAAAAATATGAAACCATAATTTATGAAATAAAGAGCAATTATGATTTAAAGGGTATCAAATTATACAAAAAAAAAGCTTAATATTAATTTGTTTACTTTATTAAACATTTCTTTCAACGCGTGCATGCGTAAAGTTTGTGGCTTTGAGGTCCGGATTATAGATCATTCCGGATAATGGACGTTTGGATTACGAACTTTGTACTGTATAACTATTTTCTGAATTTATTAATATTTATTAGTTTGTAATTTTATATCTAACGAGTTTTAATTCTTTAATCTAGAATTCAAAGCATGGAAAACATTTGTGGAAAAATGCAACAGTAACAGATATATTCGATTATCTTCATCTAAAAGAATAAAATCAGGTAGCAAAGCATACTATTATTGTCATAGATCTGGTGTGCATGAATCAAAAGCAACTGGTAAGAAAATGATAAAAATTCAAGGAAGTAATAAAGTGGGTACCACTTGCCCAGCTTCAATGGTTGTGACAGAATATGATGCAAATCCAGGACAAGTATGGGTAACCTATTGGAAGACACATGTAGGCCATGATCATAAACGAAGTCGAGCTTTCCTGGCTGAAAATGAGAGAGATTTTATTGCCAGTATGTATATTTTCTTTTTACATTTCTGCATTTAATATGTTTATGTTTAATATTAGCAATGTGTATTTGGCTGTGTTCAGTTCTATAAATTTTGACATTGCGACAGTTTATGATGTCCACTGCAGTTGTTTTACAATAAAAGCATTATTCTTTGTTGTTTGTACAAGAGAACTTTTGGTTATCATGTGATATGCGATCTGCTTTTAATTAGTTATTTATTTGTTAGATTGTGCCTCTGAAACACATTCTTAAATTTGGACATGCGATAAAAAAAGGCAAGAAAAAGAAATGACAAAACAACTACCAATTTTAGTGCCAGCAGTAGATCACATACTATGGGATATATGTTAGTTCCATAAGTAGATAATAATTTCATAATAATAATTTTTTGATGAAGCTTTAGAGTTTTAATTATATACCTAGTTTACAAAAGTCCTTATGAAACCATTATTTTCACAATCATCAGTGCAGATATATCCTTCCAGTTACAGAAATATTTTAAGCAATACAAACATTTATGTTTTGCATTTTAAAATTTAAAATGAAGTCAGTCTTGTAAAAATAGTGAACTTTTTATATGATCCATTGTTCTGTGAGGTCCATTTGTGGAAAACTGAACTTTGAGGGCACATTGATTATAAGTTGTAAGAGTTCCAATAATTTGATGGCATTTTATGATGAAAATTATTTCTATTTTGTAAAGGCAATTCATAATGATCCTGATCTCACCTTTTTCCATGTAAGTACAACTCTGAAGTAGTGAAATTCTCTTGAAAAGAAATGTGAAGGAAATAGACAATGAACTGCAGTTAATTCATTTAAGTAATTCTTGCAGAATAGACATTTATTATCAGTTTCTACTAGAAAACTAAAGAATTTTGGGGCTTGGAATGCTTTCTCTTTGCCTCTTTGAAAATCATTCATGGTGAATTGAAGTAGCATATGATTTGGGCCATAAAATCTGAGTAGACTGAGCATCCTTTTTATCAGCTGCTGCTTTAGCAAGTTTGTCAGCTGTGTCATTTCCTGTTGGCCAGTATGAGCATTAAACCCAGTAAGTTTGATATAAAGTTGTTGATATGATTTGCTTAAGTAAATTATGCTTCCAAGGATAAGCAAGAAGTGATTCAGGTTTTGAATGAAATGGATATCATATCCATTTAATGCAGCAGTTCCAAACCTTTTATCTTTCACTTATCCCTTGATAAGATTTTGTTTATAGCATATCTATAACTTTCGTGTTCAAAAGCTATAACCCTCATCCCCTCTAGTATTCCCACAATGTAACTTTTTATTGTGTTATTTTATTGCTATAGAAATTTAATAGATTTCAGTGACAGAGGCTGGAAAAATGTAATCAGACAAAGACTGATTATTGCAATATTTATTCCAAATAATGTTGCAATAACTCATTTTAATGTACTGCCGTTATTTTTAATGTAATGTCATCTGTCATAAAAAGGAAAGGAGTGAGTTGATGAATTTATTGACTCGTGATGAGATGTAAGCCTAAACTGAAAACTCTTAAATATTTTTGGAATTGTACTGTACTGCCATAAAATGCTAGGAATTATAATGTAACATGTTTCAAGATTTGATTTGTAAGAAAAAGTGGTACTAATGCAACTACCTTGACACAATCTGGTGAATTTTAATAGATGAAAAGGTAGAAGTTTTCTTATCAGGTTTCGATTTTCACAACTGTTTTTTAAAAACATTTCTGAACAATTGAAATTAATTACCCACATTATCAACATATAAAAAAAAGTTTAAAAATTTAAATTCCAAATTTTAATTATTAAATCATGGTTATCTGATAGGTTTTATAGATTAAAAATATAAAATGCGTTTTTCGTGAAATCTTTAATTTCTTTATTGCTGTTCTTCTCCACCATGCACACACTGATCTGTTTTCATTAGGAAAAAAAAGGGGGGAATTGCACAGACTGGTCATCTCGCACCAGTTATCTACTAAACACATCTCATCATTATTGTACTCTTCAATTTTGTGATGCTGCATTCCTCCAGAAATTTTAATGCAATTTCTTCCATTGCTGACAAATTCCACAAGTGATACTTTAAAATTGAGTTGAAGGCTAGAAATATCATGATTTGTCTATAAAAGTCTGTGGAGATTACACAATACAACAAAAAGAATGCATACAAAATTAGTAGTGTTGCTTAACTGAAGGATTGTTATAAGCATGATTGCCAGAGTATAGAACATTTTGAAAATTTGTCCAACTTCTACTAAGATGGTTGTGATAATACACAAGTACCAAAAAAGCTCATTGACTTTTCAGTTAAACACAAAATGAATATTACAGCATAGTTTTGCATATCTAAAAATTAAATAAAACTACTAAATGACAACCTTTGAAAGAGAGTCTTGAACTGTTGTTCAAGCTTCATTATTTATGTGACCTTTTAATGTGCGTTCAGACCTAGGCATAAAGCGCATAGAGGCATAGTCATAAGGGCATAAAATACAGGAGACCCATTCACACCTGCGAGAACGATGTGTAAGCCGTGGCCAATGAGAGAAGCTAAATTTGTGCATGCGTGGAATGTCTACAACTTTCTCGCGCTGTTCTCCCGCTCGATTGATTTCCCGCGTTCGCTCTGTTTGTTTTTTTCGTTGTGTCATGGCTTTTTCAGCTCGCCACAAAGTTTTACTGACTCAACAGAATGATCTTTTATCTGCCCTTCTCATTAGCCAAGAGGCAACGAAAGAAGGTAAAAAACGAAAAAGAATGAAATGGTCGAGAGATATTTTTTTGAAAGACCAATATTTGGTTGGCACATATATTTCTGTGCAAAGCAGTATGGAATATTTCTGCATTGTACTGTAGTACTCTCTATACTATAAACATGCACATGCATATTTATATATAAAAAAACCTTCTTCAATTTTTATATATAATTTCTCTTAGGAGAAATATGATATTCTAAATATGCCTAATTAAAAAAAATCTTGAGGATAACTAACAGATAGCCTGTATATAATATTTTTCCATTTTGCAGGTGTGAAAGCAGTTAAGCTAAAAACAGTACTTACCATACATTATTATTATTATTATTTTAATTTTCAATCAAAAGGAACATGTTTCTATGACAGTGAAACATGTGTGCTTAGCACTCCTTATTCACTGTCCCTGTCGATCACTATAGTAGTTTGCTGCACTACCAGTATCAATTATCACTAGTACTAGTATCCCACAACTGGTCACAATGACCAGTAACCACAACTAGTACAATGCTAGGAAACGTTCACCCAACAATGTATTTTATGCTCAATCATTAAATACGTTTTGCTGTGTTGCCAGCTGTTTGTATACACCTATTTCTAATAATTTCCATGTATAAGCCGCACCCCTGAATTTAATTTCAACATATGCTGTCACTTCTATTCACGACCAAATCTCAAAAGTAATTTCACATTGACAAATTTTAGGTACCCAAGTCTTCAAATACATCAAAATTATAAACATTCATACCTTATCTAGGAATATCTACCAGAGAAATAGCATGAATTTAATGATCAAAATCCCATTCAAATGATAGTAATAAAGAGTGGATAATAATAATAAATAGTATTCATTAAATTATAGTCCATGTTATGAATTATGTGTGCTATTCAGTTTCATTAAAAGTAAATTCCTTTCATGGAGAACCTAATTAAAAAACAGAACAGAACTTCAACAGGAGACAAAACTGTCTAGACTCTTGACTGTTTTAAGGATATTTCACTACATTTTTTCCTTCTTGGAATTCATAAGAGCATTTTCTCAAAAGATTAATCTTTTATTACTTATACAAAGCTTACACCATTGAATTGACTATTGTGACTATTCTTAAATAAGTGAAAATAATTTTTTCTTTAAAGTAATATTTTTACTGTTAAAAAAAACAGCAGATTCTTGATATTGATTTGATGTTTTAGTAAAATTAATTCATAAAGTTTGTTTGGAAAGAAAATCAGCATTTGAAGCAAATAGCAATACAATATTTCCAGCTTTTGAATAAATTTATTCTTAAATACAAAAATAATTAAACAGGAAAAAAAATTATAGTAGTAATTTTAAAAAAAAAATTCTATACAGAAAGAAAGTAATAATAATAATTTACACAGAAAAAATAAAATTTTTGCAATCATGCATTTTTTAAAGAATTTTCACAATAAAATGAAAAATATTGGATGGGATCAATCATCTACAGGATCATACACAGCATGCATAATCCTGAGCTTAACTTTTGCTTTACGAGTTTCGTCCATATTTTTCAATATAAATTGAAAAACTCATTAAGAATGCATTAAAAACTCATTAAAAAATGCATGTCATCATTGTAGATTTCTTGCGAGATCAACTCTTTATTTCGTTCGGATACGATTCCAACTCATTATTTCGTTCAGATACGATTACAACTCATTCGGATACGATGTGTTCCATATTTAAAAAAATGTCGGCTTCAATGTGACAGCGAAATCGTCTAAAGAAAGCCGCTTCGTTTTGTCTTCGCTCTGATTGGTCGACGCTTATCCCAAACTCGGCGTAAAGTTAAAAACTTTGAACCCTATGCCACGAGCCCTAAACCAGATTCTGTGACGTAGCAGAGCTGATTGCCTTGGCAACGGAGCTCAGCTTTAACCACTTATGCCCCTTACGCCCTCGTCTGAATGGGGCCTTAGTCTGCTTTATTGAGCTCAACATTTTGAAATCAGAATCAGATTTGGAGATGTAAAATCTTAAAACAGAAGCAACAAATTTTAAGATGAGAATGTTCTTTTACAAGTTCATTGTTTGTAAATGGCAATAAATATTTCAATGCCTAGTCACTTATTTCTTATTTTTTCTAAAATTAGGGTGTTAGGTTTTTAAATGATGCAGCAGATGATTTCATTCTTTCTCTTCATAAAAGCCTGCTCATATAGTATATAAAGAGGATTAGGCTTGTCCTCATCTTCTGCAAACAAAAATCTATAATTTAAATGTTCATAAGAGTATTTTCTTTTCTTTTGAGGAAGATCACTATTTGGTATTTTTCTATTACTGGTTGGCCTGTCTCTTAACAGTAACAGCTTTATACCAACTCTTGATCAAAAGACCCACTGATTCCTTAAAAAAGCTTCACACATTTACAAAATCAGATTTATTATCCATATTAGTTACAATGGTGTGCAAAAATTTGATTTTTAACTTCTTATCCATTTTTATGTAAACATTACTTTAGCAACCCTAAAAGAGAAAATTTTAAAACAAAACTCCACACTCAAATTTGTGTCTCACAATTGTAAAGAAAGAAAGCAGTATTGAAGTTATGGATGGTTGCAAGTTGTCTTACCATATTTATTCGTATATCCCCCCCTTTGCGCTAATTTTATCACACAAAAGTAATGCAAATTATTTGATTTCTGAAGGATAAAAAAATAATAAATTAAAAATACTCAGGGATAAACTATTGTTAACAATATTATTTATTTAAAAGAAACTTATATTGTAATAAGAATGCATAGTAATATTAATATTACAATATGTAATTTCTTCTTTCTACTTCTCCTGTATATTGAATCTTGCCTTGCTCTTATTGCATTCACTGCATCTGCATGGGCTTCAAATCTTTTAATGATGCTCGAACTGTTGTTTGTGCAATCTGCTATGACTTGCAAGTTGCCATCGTCTTTGCCACCATTCTGTCTTCCCTACATGCAGTGATATTTCGAACCATCAAGAACATTAGATATCACCATTGTCTTGAAGCTCTTTGCTATTATTACTCCATCAATCAGAACCCATGTACTAAATCAATGAGCAAATCTATTAGTAAGACAAAAACAATCAAAACGGTGATTCCATTTTAAAATTTAGGGGAGTTTGCTTTTTGAACACCTCGAGGAAGGGGAAAACTACATTAGTATTTAAAAAATTTCATAAACTAGTCAGAAAAGTATGGGAGTAAATATTGTATGCAATGGGGATTGGCAGAGAGAAAAAGAGAATAGCATGGGATGTATAAAAAATCGAGCAATATGATTGGTGGGGACAAAGCTTGTTACAAGAAATTTCATTTCTTTTGTATACATTTCAGTCAGTACACATTATTAGTCAGTATTACATTTCAGTTATAAATCCTAATATCGAAAACCTTGGCAACTGCTTTCCCTTTTATTCTATCATGTAGACTTCTGAACATATTGCTTTTTTTTTTATGAGCATTTATTACAAATCTTTGTTGTCTTCCACCATACTGATAATTTTTTCATGTACCTGTAACTAACCTATAGCATACCACAGCATTGGAACCACTAATTTAATGCTTTGTTTTTGTAGGTTATATACTTTTCTACTGATATTGATATTAAATTATGTTTAAGTTTAAAAATACTATTGTTTTTATGAAGATGGTTATGCTATTCCTCAGATGAATATCATTCAACATAAAATAAGTACAACCTACATGATCCTCAATTTTTGATCTATCTATATTAAGCTGCAGAGAATCTAGGTTATTGATTTTTCATTCAGAGGTGAATATAGTTTGCAGTTAATTCAGGATGCGAAGAAAAATACCAGAGGTGCACCTCATATTTTTGTCCGTATCACTTTTCAAATAAAAGGAAGTTGCCACCAAATGTTTAAATGCTGTGTTTCTAAAGAAACAGTGTCTCAGTGTACTCCTTTGATCTTGCCAAAAGACCGACACATCAAAATAAATCCATTTTCTCTTGGCACATTTCTTCGGCTGCCACAAACATACATAATTTAAATCACCATCAGTAAATGGTTTTCTTATTGTTCCTAATAAATGAGCAGTTTTTAAGCTGACTTTAATTACTGTTTGATAATAAGTTTTCATTTTTGCGAATAAATTGTGTTATGTTGGAGCATTCATTTTTCGTGAGTTTTAACTGTTGTGTTGCTTGCTTAGTTTGGTAATTATGACATATATTATACTCTTTTCTCACAGCTTTTATGTCTGTATGTAACAAATATAATATTTTGTTTAATTCTGTGACGAAATAATTTACTCTTCATCTTGCTTTAAAAGCATGACATTTGAAGTCCACGTTACATTACCGTGTAATCTTCTTTTCTGTCTCAAGAGTGACATGACAACAGATGTAATAAATATAATTAAAAGAACAAAATATCGCTAGGTGACCTGATTGACAATACCATGTATGCCACTAAAGAAAACTGATAGAACTAGCAATACATGTTCTCCAGCAACAGCAGATAACCAAATATGAATATGCAATGCCAGTAGCATTTGACTTTTGCAAATATTTTTGCTAGTGTTACTGCAGATTTTATGATCCCTTCCATGGGAATTTCAGTGTTCAGTGTTTTTTAATGTTTCCCAGAGATGAGGAAAAGTGCGTACTGCAGTTTTCCTCATCTTCGTTGAACATAGAAAAGCACTGGATTCCCAGAGAAGGTATGCAGCCATTGTCATCTTCGGTGACTAATCTTTTTTATTAAAAACAGTTCACTGTGTAAATGGAAAGAACAACAGTACAGAAAGATGAAAAAGTGTAAGTGTGTTTTGTATAGAAGAAGAATATAAAATGGTAAGTGGCAGTATATGCATCTTTAAAATAGAAATAAAGATTCTCAAACATATCTATCCAAATTTGGCATCTAATTGGCGATTCTTCAGTTGGGGTGTGGATAATCAGAATACAAAAAATGGTAAATTTAGCAGCTTATCTCCCAAAATGTAGTAAATAATCTAGATCAAAGCTAGTATAGGATAAAGCATAAATGGTTCTGATTGCAGTGTCTTTTCAGAACTCATGTTCCTTGTTTTAAAATCGTCTTTTTTTTTTTTTTTTTTTTTTTTAAGAAAAGAAGATGTTTTTATTTTACTAGCTGTTTTGCTGTATTTTAATATATTTTATACTAATATAATTTACATGAATAATTTTTGATACATTGTCATAACATATTTATATATGAGGGTTGGGGCAAAAGTCATGGCAACTATTTTCTTCTTGAAGATATGTGAACGGATCACAAAACGTATATGTGTCGTGTGGAAGTTCTGTAGGCATAGTGTATATGTAGAACAACGGATGGCTCTGTGGTAGCGAGGGCTCTGAAATCAGTCGGTGTGTGCTGTGCGAGATGGAAGTAACCTTTGTTAAGCAGCGCACTTACATCAAAATAGCCGTTCTCCGAGAGAGAAATGCGATGGAATGTCACAGTGAGTTAGTAGAAGCCCTTGAGAATAATGGCATACCATATCCTACAGTAGCACGGTGGATAGGACAGTTTCAGCAAGGACGTGTGTCAACCAGTGATAAGCAACGTTCGGGATGACCGGTGAGTGTGCGGACCGACTTGGGACGTGCTGTCATAGAGCACCTCATGGATAAAGACAGACAATGGACGTTACTGGAGTTAGAGAGGGCAAGTGGCATCGAGAAACGCACCATCCACAGGATATTGCGTAATGAACAGCTACACAAAATCGCTTCCACATGCACTGATGGGAGTTCAAAGGTGGGTGCGCTATGCAATATACTCCGACCACTTTGCATGGCAACAGGACGGCGATCAGTTCTTGTCACGAATAATCACCATCGATGGATTTTGGGCCAGGGCATACGAACCAGAACTGAAACGTCTGTCCGCAGAGTGGCGACATCCTGGATCACCAAGGCAGCAGAAGGTCCATCAGAATCCTTCCCCAGTTAAATTGATGGTCATCGTCACATATGACGTCAAAGGTGTCATTGTTTGTCACTTTGTTCCTCATGGCAGAACAGTGACCACACAGTACTACAGGGACTTCCTGGTGCGATAGGTACGATGTGGCGTTCGGGGTAAATGTCCGGATCTTGTGGACAGTGCAATAATTCTGCATGACAATGCAAGACCACATAAAGCAGAGTGTGTATGGCAGCTACTCCGACGTTGGGGATGGGAAAAATGGAGCATCCACCGTACTCTCATGACCTTTCGCCCTGTGCCTTTGATCTCATTCCCAAGATTAAGGAACCAATACATGGTAGGCTATTTGCAACACGAGAGGACATTGCTAATGCTGTGCACCAACAGATGACTTGATTCACACATGGTGCGGCAAATGATGAGGCTGATGGTATTCAGTGCCTCCCACATCATTGGTAGCGTGTGGTGACAGTAGCAGGGGACTACATTGAGGGTCTTTAGGCCCAGGTTTGTCATGTCAACTTTATGTGTATTGTGTTGCACAGTGAAGGCCATATTGCCCTGTATACTACAGTAATAAATTCGTGTGTTATGATATTTCAGTGCTATTCATTGTCCACACATGTAGTTAAGACCTTGTCCTTTCATCTGTATATGTCACATTTTCCAATCGGATTGGTATCTTCAAGAAAAAAAATAGTTGCCATGACTTTTGCCCCAACCTACGTATATATGTGTTTTAATTTGGTCATATAATCATTTGTTCATATAATCATTAATTCCTTGTCATGCTTTTATAATTTCCTCTGCATCTTTTAACTATGTGAAATATGGGTAATGCAAACACATGATATGTGAGATCTATTATTTTATAGTTTAAATAAACTGTTTTCTTTTTTCACTAGTGTTGATGCAATTTATGTTCAAAGTTAGAATTCAGTTATCTGATCCAATCTTCATATTATTTTTTTCCTTTTCTTCCCTAGAAAAACTTGCCATGGGAGTTTCATTCGATAATGTTTTGGATGAGATGATAAATGGTGAAGCAGAAGTGAATTCAGAAGCTCTTCATCCTATCGATAATCCAGATTTGCACAGCATGAAGAGATTTTTGTCAAACTGTTCTAACTATCATCCCGATGACATAGCAAGCGTAGAATTTTTAATCCAAGAACTAGAATTAAGCAGTGAAATGGCCACACTTTATTACAAGCCTCAGGGTGAAGTAGATGAAACCGGACATTTTGAAATTGATGATTTTATGATTATACTTATTTCCTCTTTTCAATTTAAGATGGTGGCAACATTTTATTCAGAAACATTTTGTATTGATGCTGTTATTGGGAAAAATAGATATGATTACCAAGCAGTGATAGTTCTAACTGTTGATGAAAATGCAATTGGTTACCCATTTGCAACTTGTATTACAAACCGTACAGATGTTAAAGCAATGGCTCGTTTTTTTGAGAAAGTTAGGGATAGTCTTAGCGAAGATCTGGAATGCAGTATTTTACTTACTGCTGATATACCTGCAATTATCAATGCTTGGTCAGCGGTTATGGGTGAACCTAAACATCACTTACTTAGCTCATGGCATCTAATTAAAGCGTTACAGAAACATCTTAGAAAAATTAAAATTCCACAATATCGAACACCTGTGTTTCAGTATCTTCAGGTCCTAATTCATGAACCTAATATTGAATGTTTTGAAAAGTTATTAATATGCTTTGAGAGTGACTTAAAAGAAAATCCAAGCACTAGTTTATATTATGATTACTTTCAGAGGAATTATTTCAAACGTGTTAAGCAATGGGCCTTATGCCATCGAGCAGAACTGGGCATAAAAACTAATAAACATTTTGAGGCTTTTCATGAAATTCTTAGGTATATTTATATAGATGGCAAAAAAAATCATCGATTAGACAATTATCTTAAAGCTTTGTTAAAATTAACCAGAGATAAGCTTCTTGACAGAAGGAGTATGTCTTTAAAGAATAAGCCTACTCAAATAAAGCATGAAATGCAGGAAAATCATGCAAAAGGTAGATTAATATCAAAAAGTAAAGTGACAAATGTTTCTGAAGGATCTTACAGAGTAGCATCTGAGCAACAGCTAAATTATTCCTATATTGTTACAAAAGAGAATGTTGATCATTTGACTTGTGATTTGACCTGTACAGCATGCAAAATATGCATTCATATGTATAGTTGTACATGTGTAGATTATTTAGTGAAATTTACTATCTGTAAACACATACATGCATGTATAATATCCACTTGGCCAGATGTTATTGTTCCTGAGAGTTGTGATGAAACATTTTGTGAAGTTAATGATGTTTCTGATGTAGTAACACTCCAGTTAAATGAGAAAGATATTTCCACAATGTCCCCTATTATAAATTTAGCTGGAGAAATAATAGTATCTTCTAATGCTGTAGCTGAAATAACAGAAGATTCCTATAATAAAGTAATTGAACATTTGAAAATAGCAAACAATATTCTAAAAACTGCAATAAGTGGAACACAACAAATTCAATCTTTAGTAGTGCCTAGTGTGTCTGAAATTCCAGACTCTACAGGAGAAATAGAAGTTGCCTCCAAAAGTATTCTAATGTATGATCACACGTATGTTGTTCTTAATGAAAATCTTGGATGTTAATGTAATAAAAGATATTTATGTAATATTTTGTGCCTACGAAGTAGAACTCGGCATTAAAAAATTTAAAATTTCTGTATAATTAAATCATCTTTCTTCATATCTATTTTTCCTGCTTTAACCCCTTGAAGAGCAGTATATAAAATAATTTAAATTGTGGTGAAATTTTGCAAGAACCATAACTTATGGGCCCTAAGGACACAAAATTGAGACTTAAAAAAAATCTACACCGAAATCCTAAATTTTGAGAGCAGGTATATATTTTATACCGGCTGGTATATATATTATACTATATATAACTGGTATATATTTTATACCGGCCAGTATACATATTAGGCTATATATAACTGGTATATATTTTATACCGGCGGCCCTCTAAGACATTTTTTTCAGGTAGCTGCCAATTGTTAATTTTTGTTTTTTAAATTAATTTTGCATTCTTTTGACATGCATCTATAGAGATACCCATCTCTACAGATGCTTGAATATGGTTGTGTAAGTCTGAAGAGAAAAACTTTTAAAATTTCGGTAAAATTGAACAATGAAACCGTACGCCTCGGATGAGAAAGTATGTTGCATTTTTGAAGTCATATTTTATGCTTTAGATAATATGTAAAAAAACCATGGTTCATGTTATAATACCAAGAATCGTCCCCCCCAGACACACACACTTTAGATTATCGAGGAACGTAAGGGCCCCTTTTTTTATTTTTTGTAAATATAGGTTGTAATATATCTTTTTGTACAGGAAGAAATGCCATTAAACAACTTTTTTATTTTATACACCTCAAAGCTCTTATTTTGATTTTTAACTCCTTTGGCTTCCTAGGGGCTACTTTTCAACTTTTAGATAAATTCTAGTTTGCCAATAAGAATAAAAGCATGCTTTCAAATCAGCAGTTTTTATGATTACAGTAAGAGATGGATCTTAAGTGCACTTCCATTTCCAAGTGAGCTTTGTCTTTGTGTAATCTTATCACACCACACAAAGGGAAGAAGGCATGACTCTGGAATGACAAATGAGTTGTCAGTCGTCTCCTTTCATTTTCGTTCGATTCTAGGATTTTGGAAAACATGAAGCAACGGATGTCTTTTGGGAGCTAGCTTGCCACATTTAGTCCCTACAACTGTGTAAAATTTTGTCCCTAGACGGCAATTTTGAAATCGATGATCTTTCTGCTGTGAAAAGAGGAAGTGCTGAAGTTAAAATTTTAACTAAATAGAGACGAATGAAACTCGAGCAGAGTAAAAAAAGAATAAAAAGAAACAGATATACTTGTATTCAGTCCTATTGCAGGGTCAACAAACTCCCGATCCCTTCATGAACATAATACTGAGTGCTAAACAACTTGTAAGTTAATCATAAACAAATTATTACATCATAAACTATTATAATGTAAACAAATGCTGTCATTTCACAGAGTAGAGAAGGAGAAGCCTGGGGCTGCCATCTATTGGCAAGGTACCCTCAGTAGAGGCGCCGGTATATATTATATACCAATATTAAAAACGTATATGTAATCTTCTTTTATTTATCTGTTTTGATTGAAATACAGTAAATTTAGAAGGTTCAGCATGTGTACATCATACATTTACAGATTTTAAATTTTTTCTTTCCCTCCAATAGAATTTATCAATCTTCAAACATGATACCTTGGAACGATGTATAATACGAGTAATTTCATAATTGCAAAATATTGAGCATTCATTGGGTAGCATTTAGAATCAAAAGGAAACACTAGAAACTTACGATTACAGCTTTTGGTGTAGAGAAATTAGCATTTTTTTTTTGGAGGTTAAAAATTGACAAACAACCGTGCCCTTCAAAGGGTTAAAAAATAGATATGCGACAATGTCAATACTCCTGTTTAGATGTAAAACTAATGATTTTCAACCACACTGCCACCAGTATGATTTATAATAGGTATTTGACTTAAAAGGCTTAATTCTTGGTCTTAAAATCCTTAATAATCATTACGAAGCTAAGTTTAATATTTCATAAGGTGCACTCAACAATAGGATTTTTTAGCATCTAAAATAATTTAGTTCTCCTCCCCCCAGGGTTATCCCTTAAAGATAAACTTGGGTCATTTTGTCGGTGAAATATTGTGGTTTGCTACTTCATTGATGGAATAACAAAGCAAGGTAAATCTGAAAAGTCAAGCAATATTAACCATTGACCTGTTGTAGTATATATATTAACCAATGAGCACGAAGCAAGAGCGGCTAGCTCAGCGTCTTGCACTTAACACTCCCTCAAGACAGCCCGCTATAACCCTCCTGGTTAAATGAGAATTTAGCTGTTTTCCCCCAAATCAGATTGGCGAGATTTTAGAGTTTCTTATTTTCTGGGTGACATTTTTTCCGTTCCTTATTTTCCGGGGACATTCTTTCCGTTTCCCTTTTATCCGGGTGACATTTTTTCCACACACTGTACGGTATCCTTGGAACGAAAACGAAAAAGGTAAAAAGAAAGGCCTTTGTTTGAAAAATACCGGAATAGTAAGACGCATCATGCGACGGGAAAGCCTCGCTCCTTTCCCCTTTATGTAATTGAGCTGTATATTTATCCTTTAGTTAACCAAGAAAACTAGTGTTAAGTTTCAAAATAAATATTTAAAAAGACAATTGGTCGCAGTATTCCCATGATGGAAGTTCGGCACCATTACAATACCTTTAAATAGTGAATTATAACTTTAATCAGTTTTTGTACAACAAATATTCCTTGTGTTTTTGTGAGTGCATATCTTTAAGAATTTCAAGCCTTCTGTCAAATAACACCAAAATATTTCCCTGCAAATGTGCTACATTTCCTTGATGATATAATTTTAAAAAAGTCTATGCACAATTTTTGAAAAATGCATGAATATTTTACTTTTTTCATATATGACTTAAAAAAAACTCCCAGTAGTGTCCTGCTTCAGCATATGGTTAATGCTTCATGCATGTACAGTAAACATTTTTTCATATTAAAGCATGGCAAACTTTATCACTTAGCAGTAAATACAGACTACAACCATGAATAGTCAACTGTGCAGCAATGCACTGATGATGATGAATTCAACAAATTTCTTTTCACATGGAAAATTAAAAATTTTAATTGATAATCATAGGCCAAAAAAATAACATTTAATATTGCTTGAATGTATTTGTTTTTCCAATTGCTTTAAATTCATGCAGTAGGTTTCTATTAGGACAACAGTAAATCAATTTAACCTCCTTTCACATTTAACTCCCAATGTAATTTTGTTAGATATTTTTTTCCCCCAATCACAGACATTATAAGCATTGGCCACTTCTAAGGCCAGAAGCGGTGGTCACTTTATCATGGAAACACCTAGTAGGTGGGTCACCATTGCCTCTTATAAAGGGGACAGACAATTTACATTCATGCTTTCTCTGGAATTCAAACCTGTGCCTTTCAGTATGGCAGTCAGTAACCACTTTCCTGTCTGGGTGGTGCTTTGTTTGATATTTCATATCATATTCACTTTTATCTTAAAAGTTCCATGTTTCTAAACAACAAACTTTTGAAAAGAAGGAAATTACAAATCTTCAGTTATGATAATACATATATCATGAAAGTTTTCAAAATGTTTTTGTAATTTTGCCTTTGAAGAATTAAAATCACATAACAGCCACTTCTTATTGCAACCACAATTTTTACCATGTTTCTCTGCATTTGTGTGTACAAAGCAGGTTTTGTTTTGAGAAGAGGGGGTGAAATTTCTCAATCATCACATGTAAATCTGCAAATAGTTCTTAATGTACAAAATAATTCCATTGACTTCGAAGAATGATAATTAAATCAATAATACTTGTTTCGTCAGAATGAATAGGACTTCGAACATTTCAAACATTTTTTTTCAATGGCATTCATTCACTTGCCTATTCAGCACTGGCCAATCTTAAGGCCAGAAGTTGTAGCAACCTAACAGGCAGTCATCATTGCCTCTTATGAAGGAACGTAAAAAAGGAACTCTAAAATCTTGCCAATCTGATTTGGGAAAAACAGCTAAATTCTCATTTAACCAGGAGGGTTATAGCGGGCCGTCTTGAGGGAGTGTTAAGTGTAAGACACTGAGCTAGCTGCACCTTGCCAAGGTCACTTAGAAAATAGGTTTTTTTCAAGATGCCTCTGGGAAGATCTCATTTCTCCCACACTTTGTTTCGCACCGTTCTGGAAAGAGATCCAGTTTCAGTTTCAGAGTAGGTCCCCCGGAAGAACTGCATGAAAAGAATCAATGGGAAAACAATTTTTCTGCTCTAACATATTAATGATTACCGTCTGTGGAACTAAACGATTTCATCTGTCCCTGACTGTAACAGTTTGGTCACAGCACGATTTAGTCCCTTATTTATCTTGCCGTTAAAGCCTGGAATTCGCTGTTTTCATAAAATAACTATATTTCATGAATCAGTTAAAGTATACACTGACTACCAATAATTATTTGGACACCTATGCAAATGACGATATCTGCGGTCCTAAGGTACGTCACGGACTCCGCCGGTATATATCGTGTAGGAAACAGCATCGGCTTTGGTCGCATGCAATATGCCTCGCAGTTCGGAGCTCTCTGATTTCGAGAAAGGTATAATTATCGGGTATCACACATATGGCCGATCCTTAAGGGACATATCTAGCGATCTGAAGTACCCAAAATCGACAGTGGCCTATGTGATTAAGAAGTGGAAGGCGAGCGGTGATTGTCAGAATGTGCCCCGAGTCGGCATACCAACGAAACTGGGAGAGAGAGACCGACGAGTGCTGTCCAGAGAAATTCGGAAGAACCGCACCCAACCGATGGCCCTCATCCGCGAGGAGTTTCAACTAGCATCCGGGAGTATTGGTTCAATGAATACCATCCGTAAGGAAGCACATCTGCTTGGTTTTAATGGTCGTGCTGCTGCCTATAAGCCTTTAATCACAAAGTCCAACCGCGCTGCTCGGTTAATGTGGTGCAAAGCACATCGAAATTGGACTGTAGATCAGTGGAAACGGGTTCTTTGGAGTGACGAATCAAGGTTCACCCTTTACCGTTCGGATGGCAGGGTCTGGGTCTGGCGTCTACCTAGAGAACG